AGTTCATGAGGCAGATGGTTCATATTATGGAAGTCTCAATGGTCATCTCTCTCTTGCAGCCTGCACCTGAGACGTATGATCTGTTTGACGACATTATGCTTCTTTCTGAGGGTCAGATTGTGTACCATGGTCCACGTGAAAATGTGCTTGAGTTCTTCGAATATATGGGGTTCAAATGCCCTGACAGAAAAGGTGTTGCAGACTTCTTGCAAGAAGTGACGTCTAAGAAGGACCAAGAACAATACTGGTTTAAGAAGAACCAACCCTACAGATTTGTTTCAGTATCCGATTTTGTTCGAGCATTCACCACTTTTCATGTTGGCCAACGTCTTGTGGAGGAACTAAGAGTTCCTTATGATAAAAGATCAGTCCATCCTGCTGCTCTGGTGACGGATAAGTATGGAATATCCAATATGGAGCTCTTCAAGGCATGCTTTGCAAGGGAATGGTTGCTGATGAAGCGTAACTCTTTCGTGTACGTATTCAAAACTACGCAGATAACAATCATGGCTACAATTGCTTTGACGGTATTCTTAAGAACAGAAATGAAAGCCGGAAGAGCAGAAGATTCGGCAAAATTCTGGGGAGCACTGTTTTTCAGTCTCATTAACGTCATGTTTAACGGAATGGCAGAGCTTGCAATGACAGTTTTCAGGATTCCTGTGTTCTTTAAACAAAGGGATGCCCTGTTCTATCCTGGCTGGGCTTTTGGCTTGCCCATTTCGCTAACCAGAATTCCCATTTCACTGATGGAATCTGGGATATGGATTGTTCTAACATACTACACCATCGGGTTTGCACCAGCGGCCAGTAGGTAAGCTTCAATCTTATCAGTCGTATCATTCTCGAAAGTTTTATTTTTGTGCTGCTAAAGAAATTACGAAAGAGCAATTGAATTATTCTTTAATCTGACATATGTATATATGCTCAGGTTCTTCAAACAGTTTTTGGCTTTCTTCGGCGTACATCAGATGGCACTCTCCCTTTTCCGTTTCATTGCTGCCCTTGGAAGAACAGAGGTTGTTTCGAATACAATTGGTTCCTTTACGTTGCTACTGGTGTTTGTCCTTGGAGGTTTCGTCGTCGCTAAAGGTTAGAAATCTTTCTCATTTCATTGTCAAAGTAAGCTAGTGCATTTACCAATTTGACACCAGCACCTTACAGATTTCTAAATGATCGCACTGATGACTGATACTCCTTCCACATGTTATGAAATGTTCACAATATCCCATCTCATTGTGCAGATGACATCAAGCCGTGGATGATATGGGGCTACTATGCGTCACCTATGATGTATGGGCAAAATGCAATTGCTATCAATGAGTTTCTTGATAAAAGATGGAGTGCTGTAAGTTAACTGAAGTGTTTATATAATTCACACCATATCTTAATATTTACCACAACACTTTCATATCTAAATTGAACTGGTTGTGCTTAATGATATTTTTAATCCCTTTGCACAGCCTGTTCTCAATGCCTCTGAAAACACAGTTGGAAAGGTACTTCTGAGGGAAAGAGGACTGTTTACTACGGAGACTTGGTATTGGACTTGTATTGCCGCGCTCTTCGGATTTACTGTTCTCTTCAATATTCTTTTTATGGCAGCACTGACCTACTTAGATCGTAAGTGAACAATTTTCAACTGTCATGAGGTATTGTTACCGTAATGGCTCTAGTGCTGATTATCTATTTTATTATTTTCTCAATTTCAGCCCTAAGTGAAACTAAAACTCTAATTGAGAATGATGAAGACTCTGAAGGGAATAAGAAGCGACGATCCAGTCCAGAAGGTACAAATATTACTTCTTGTGGATCCTAACCGGGATGTTTGTTTCTAAAAGATGGTGTATGCTTTACATCTTGATTAGTAGCTTCGCTATCAATTATTTTCTTCATCTAATAAATAATGATCGATAACAGGTATTGATATGCAAGTCAGAAATTCTCAAGGAAATAATCAAGCCAAACGAGGAATGGTTTTACCCTTCCAGCCCCTCTCACTCGCTTTCAACCATGTGAATTACTATGTGGATATGCCTGCCGTAAGTACTTTTCTACTGAAGTTTGGGGTTCTAAACAAGCAAAGCCAGAATTTAATCATTTTCCAAATTTGTTTTGTTTATGCTAACCTTTTTTGTGTCTTTACCAGGAAATGAAGAGCCAAGGGATTGAAGAGACTCGACTCCAACTTCTACGAGATGTCAGTGGTGCATTTAGACCTGGTGTTTTGACTGCATTAGTTGGTGTCAGTGGTGCTGGAAAGACAACCTTGATGGATGTCTTAGCTGGAAGAAAGACCGGTGGGTACATTGAAGGAAGTATTACCATCTCTGGTTACCCAAAGAACCAAGCCACATTTGCTCGGGTCAGCGGTTACTGTGAACAAAATGATATTCATTCACCATTTGTTACTGTCTATGAGTCTCTCCTATACTCTGCCTGGCTGCGTCTTGGTAAAGATGTCAAGACCGAAACAAGAAAGGTATGTTCCTGATTTCCCATAAAAAAAATACTTTTAGCAACTCTAGCATTTATTCTCTTCATAAATTGTTTCATTCCCATAAACAAATGCTGACTCCCATTATCAATTTTCTTTCCTTTATGCAGATGTTTGTTGATGAGGTTATGGATTTGGTCGAGCTTAACCCATTGAGAAATGCTTTAGTTGGACTTCCGGGAGTTGATGGACTTTCGACTGAGCAGAGAAAGAGGCTCACTATTGCTGTAGAATTGGTTGCCAACCCTTCCATCATCTTCATGGATGAGCCGACATCAGGACTTGATGCTAGAGCAGCCGCCATTGTTATGCGTACTGTAAGAAACACCGTGGATACAGGACGAACTGTTGTATGTACAATTCACCAGCCTAGCATTGACATTTTTGAAGCTTTTGATGAGGTACAAACTGATCTTTTTTTAATCTGTTTAATTCCTAGAATTTTTCATTATTTCTTGTACAGTTTGTCACCTTGATATCGTTTTGCCTTGTAGCTTTTCTTAATGAAAAGAGGAGGACAAGTGATTTATGCCGGTCCTCTAGGTCGCCAGTCTCACAAACTTGTTGAATACTTTGAGGTAAGTTTATACTTGAATCACTTGGGTTAAAAAAAAATAAAAAATTCAGACATCAATCTCATTCAATCCAAAATGCATCTTGCTCTATGAGCTTAAATTGTTTGACTAATACAAAACATCTTGCAGGCTATTCCAGGGGTTGCAAAGATCAAAGAGGGTTACAATCCAGCTACCTGGATGTTGGAGGTCAGCTCGGCTGCCATTGAGGCTCAGAATGATGTGGACTTTGCAGAAATATTTGCAAATTCTGATCTGTATAAGTAAGTTGCATGTAGCTGTGCTTTCTGTTCATTTCCATCGTTGCCTTCCACTCATCTGTGTGTGCTAATTTTTTTTTTTCATGCTTTTTGTTTCGTTTGTCCAGGAGAAATCAAGAACTTATCAAGGAACTAAGTATTCCAGAACCAGGCTCCAGCGATCTTTACTTCCCCACCCAATACTCCCAAAGCTTTGCAACACAATGCAAGGCATGCTTCTGGAAACAACACTGGTCATACTGGAGGAACTCACGATACAATGCCATTAGGTTTTTCATGACAATCTGCATTGGAGTATTATTTGGTGTTATCTTCTGGGGCAAAGGAGACAAGATGTAAGTTCAAGCACTTTATTATCAGCTACTTATTTCGTACAACATTTTCTTTGACATGTGATTCGTTGCATGTTTTCTGCAAGCATTGCTGCTTATACAATGTTTAACTTTTATACAGACACAAACAACAAGACCTGATCAATCTTTTGGGAGCTACCTATTCTGCCATTCTCTTCCTTGGAGCTAGCAATGCTTCTGCTGTGCAATCTGTGGTTGCGGTTGAACGAACGGTCTTCTATCGTGAAAGAGCAGCCGGAATGTATTCAGAGTTGCCTTATGCATTTGCTCAGGTAAGATATTGACAGCCACACTCGTTTATGTGCTTGTTTTTGTATAGTCATTACAATTTCATATCTTTGTTTATTGACATATATATTGGTGTTATAGGTGGCTATTGAGACAATTTACGTTGCAATCCAAACCTTCGTCTATTCTTGCCTTCTATTTTTCATGATCGGGTACAATTTCAAGGTGGAGAAGTTTTTGTACTTCTACTACTTCATCTTCATGTGCTTTACCTACTTCTCTATGTACGGAATGATGGTTGTTGCCCTGACTCCTGGCCATCAAATTGCTGCAATTGTTATGTCGTTCTTCTTGAGTTTCTGGAACTTGTTCTCGGGCTTCCTCATTCCCAGGCCGGTATGTCATTTGAATTGTTCTTCTCATTTCGAGTTCTTTTTATATTATTTACCTTGCTACGGATCATCTCTATTACTACTATATACCTAATATAAGTCTCAATACTGCAGCTAATTCCCATCTGGTGGAGGTGGTACTACTGGGGTTCTCCCGTTGCCTGGACAATCTATGGTATCTTCACATCTCAAGTTGGTGACATGAAGACTAACATCGACATTCCTATTCAAGGACCACAAAAAATTGATGTATTTCTCAAAAACTACTTGGGTTTTGACTACGACTTTCTGATCCCTGTCGTCATTGCTCATCTTGGTTGGGTCCTCCTCTTCTTCTTCGTCTTTGCCTACGGCATCAAGTACCTTAACTTCCAAAGGAGATAAGGAATTTTACTGTACCTTCAAAATTGTTAAATAGATAGTCGAGTGTACAACATTACAGCCAAAGTTAGACAAAATTTGTCCTCTTTCTGTCTTGTTATTGTTATAGGTATCATACATTTTGTGTAATTTTGTTTGGCTTTGGATACATTTTCCAGATTACTTGTGTATAGCAATATTTATTCTTGAATATTGAATGTAAGAAGCTTTGTGATTTTTCTTAATATCGATGCGACAAATAAGAACTTATTCTACCGAAGAACTCGATGGAAACGGAACTTGAGCTGAACAAAGAAACAACAGAGCAACAGAGATTCTGATAAACTTGAGCTCTGAAGTTGCCAAAGGAATAGCAATATCAGCGGCTTCTTTATTTGTAAAATCAAACAATAATAATACACTTTAATTTTTTGACAAATCACATCATATCCAATATATGTTTCATAAGCTTGAGCTACTCTTGAGATTGCGACAAGAAAGTAGCATCAGCATTCTCATCATTGCAGTAGAGACAAGGGTGCTGCTCAAACCCTTGTTCTTTCAAAACTTGTCGCGCAAGCAACACGAGCTTTTTGTTGCTTAATTCAACCTCGTGATCCTTCAACACCATTTGGACCGCATTGCTGAATGCTCCACACGGCTTGCCACCAGTCATAACCGCGTTCGTTACATCCGCGGAAGTCTCATTTGCTTGACACCCGCTGAGTAGAATTCCTTCATCGGGCTTAGATGACTCGAACATGTCGAGGACTTCAAGCGGAGGCAAGCGAAACTTGAGGCTGGCGTCGGCTGCAAACAACTCTAGCAAGTGGGTTGCAATATCGGATGTGTTTATTCCCGTCAAGGATGAGAGGTGGTGCAATATGGTCTCGCAGGGAATGGCCTTCGGCTTGGAGGACTTGGAGGAAATAGATGATGATTTGTTACTAGTTTCAGTGACATGAGAAGGTCCAATTTGCTCCTTCTCCTTATCAATGAGGCCTCCACTGTGACATGAGTCTGATAGGATTGTAAAGCTTGCTCCCTTCGGCAAACGGTTCACTAATTGTCTAAAATCAACATCTACATGGTGAATTACCAATGTGTTATTATGACTACTCAAATTAGAGGAGGTGTCCAAAACACTTACGCTTATGAGCGTTTTTCTTATTATTAAAAAAAAAAACAAAAAAACAAAAACTATAGAAAGGAGAAAATGGTTTTTAAATCAAGTGATTATCTAGAAAGAATTATAATTGTTTTTGTAATTAAAAACATTTTACATTATTCTGCCAAATGCGCAAGTGAAAATGTTTTAATTATTTAAAAGCGTTTTTAAGCATTTTAAAAGTATCATTACATATACTCTTAAGGATATAAATTCTCTCACTATCACAATTTTACCATAAAAACATACATAACTATTTTCGGTAAATTAGAAAGTATGAAACTATTTGCACCACATTGTAGACCACATTTCTAATAAAAGTGAGTCGTAATCGTATGAGCGGGTCTCACTCCTGTTAGTGGTGTGAACTACAACGTGACTAAACAATATGATCCATATGCATGTATCATTACCTGAAGTATAACATATAAGAGAGAAATTAAATAGAACAATTAAATAACTAGACTAAAAGGACACGATATAGTGCATATTAGTAATTTTAAACACCCACCAGTGATGAGGTTGAAATCACAAGGCACAATTGCCTCATCCTGCCTGAAGGGGTTGCCTGGTTTCAATGAAGGAATCCTTGTTCCATGGCCACTGTAATGAAAGTACAAGACATCACCTGGTTTAGCCTGATCAACCATTTCACCAAGTGCCTTCTTAATGTTTGCACCTGTTGGCAAAACTGATGAGGAACCACCAGAACCAGCATCTGCTGCTGCTGCATCAGTCAACAGCTGAATGTCGCTCGGATCGAACCCAAACCGACTCACAAGTGTGTCTCTCATGGCGAGCACATCGTTTATGCAACCATGCAGCTCGTTTCTGGTGTTTGGGTAATTGCACCCCACCAAAACGGCCAACCTCTTCCTCTCAATATTCTCCATAATTTGAAATAATTGCAAGCAGTAATAATGTGAATGTTTTTTTTTTTTTTTTTTTTGGTATCTTTCAGTTGTTTTGTGGTCGATCTCTTCCAAACTTTTGGTTTTATAGTAATCGTGGGATGTTATGGTATCTCGCTTGACATTTGGTTCACGTTATGTACTTGGCTTTCAAGCGTGGGAAGATTACTTTCTGCGTTTTAAAGTCTCGTCCTTCTGAAAAATAGAATGAGTTCACTCCAACCAATCAGAAAAGAGAAAGGCTAATTTGAACAGAAGTTGACAGGAGCATAGAGTGGAGCTATGTTTGAAGCCGAAGTGGCAGAGCATGGTGGTTCTTATTCTTCTCAAGGCTAATGAGAAGGAGTTCAAATCATCTGCACCCAAAATCTTATGCGGTTTTTGTGTGATTTATCATCTATCTCCTTTATTAACACCTGATCAGTCATTTAAACCACATTTAACAATGTTAATTCTTCAATTTATCTCCTCAATAAAAAAAAATCAAAAACTAAAAGTAAATTAAGTCAAAATGACACCTGTCGCTGAAGTAGATAGAGCATAGAGAGGTCACAAAGAGTTTTGTGTGCAGACGATTTAAACTCAATGAGAAGAGGGAGGAAATTTGGGAGTTTGGTGGGAAAAATTGGGTTGTTGGGTCTCAGAGATGAAAAAAAATTGGGCCTAGATACAATTTACTTTTAGTTTTTGATACAATAGTATGTTTACACTAAGAGAGGTGAGAGATTTCAGCTAAGTTACACAATGAATTAGTCATATAATAATGTATTATCAAACTCGCTATTAACAAGTCAAATATAAAATCTCTCACTTATAAGTCCAGAAAATTACTACTTAGATCGTCATGTTAAGTGAGAAGACTTTTTTTTCTTTCAATTTAGGTAAATTGATGCACAAAAATCTATCAACCAAAAGTCGAGTGTAACCCTCTATTCAAGTAAACAAGCTTTTGTTCAAAAAAAAAAAAAAAAAAGGGGGTAAACAAGCTTGTGTGTTTAAGCCGCCCCAAGCCTAAAGTTGACTTCTTACTTGGTGGACTTAAACCATTTTTCTTCCCTCAACCTTAGAGTAAGACCTGGCAATATAGCACACCATCCATTTATACGAAACGAAAATTTCAATGTTTGAGTTGAGCCTTAATATGTTTGGATTTAAGAGAGCGGACACGTTATTGGAGATGCGCTTAGTAAGTTTGGATTAAAGCTGACGGACCCGTTAGTAATTAGTTAACGAACGGTTCCAAATGGTCACTCATGGATACTCGTCAGGAGCATGTCTATTCCAACTTGTTAAGAGACTCATGTATGGAATGTATGACTAGCATTCAGTATTCCGGTGTCTACAATTTATTGATCCGTTCGGTTAAAGTGGCTCAAGCCTGAAAGTATATGTTTCCCATTAGGTAAGTAAGTAGCCATACATTTCTTTGACTTGGTGAGTTTCATGATACAACAACAACAACAACAACAACAAAGCCTTTTCCCACTAAATGGGGTCGGCTATGTGAATCCTAGAACACCATTGCGCTTGGTTTTGTGTCATATCCTCCGTTAAATCCAAGTACTCTAAGTCTTTTCTTAGGGTCTCTTCCAAAGTTTTCCTAGGTCTTCCTCTACCCCTTCGGCCCTGAACCTCTGTCCCGTAGTCACATCTTCGAACTGGAGCGTCAGTAGGCCTTCTTTTATTATTTTAACAGATCAAGTTGGATCACACGTTATTTTAATGACTCATCGGATCAAGATTCTTCCACCATTAGCTTAACATGTCAACACAATATGAGTCATTAAGACAACATGTTAACAACTTAACACAAATACGAAAAACACTGCCCACTTTCCAGGTCTACTTAGTGTACGTTTTACTTAGTGGTTGGTCGTCTTGGCGGTTGAGGATTTCTAATTGTTATTTTAAAGTGGTTCTCTCCAAAACTGTTTCATCTTTCAGACATCTACTAAGGAAATTTGATTGACAATTGGCTAAAATGATGAAAACCTAAATTTTGATCATGAAACTTATCAGACGTCCTTATATATCCATCATATTACTCTTAAGAGTAAATTGTAGCTATAGTTCCTTAACTTTAACTCAATTGGAGCAATGGTTCTTCAACTAAAAATCCATTACCTTTGGTCCCTCAAGTTTAATTCAACTGGAGAAATGGTCCCTTAACTTTAACCCAATTGTAGCAATGGTCCTTCCAACATAACTTGTTTTGACAAAAATTTTGACGTAGTTGACGAAAAGGACCATAATTACACACTTTGATGAGTTGAGGGACCTTAATTATATAAATGGTTATCCCAACATAACTTATTTTGACAAAATTTTGAAGAAATTGATGAAAATGACTATAGCTACACATTTTGATAAGTTGAGGGACCAATGGTTATGGATTTTTAGTTGAGGGACCATTGCTCCAATTTGATTAAAGTTCAGAGACTAATGCTACAATTTACTCTACTCTTAATACCGTTTCACCCATAGAGAGCCATTATTTTTTTAAATTGGTTAGTAAATTGAATTGAATTTTGTAGAATCTTTTTTTTTTTTTAAATAAACGATATTATTTATACTAAGAATGAGGGAGCGGACTTAGCCTTGTAATGACCTAGTAATAATGTGGTTCAAATTCATCTTTAGCAAAATCGAACCTAAGACTTCTCACTTACATGTAAAGAAGAATATCACTAGACCGTAATACTAATTGGCTAGAACAACCATTTTTAATAACACTAGATAAAGTCAGATATAGTGAGTGTGTTTAAATATATGATAATTTGAAAAGGAAATTGGAATCAAAATAAAATAAAATTAAAAATTAACAAAAATAAGAGGGAAAAAGTAGGAAATAGGAGAGAGGGTAGATGAGTAAGAGTTGTAAAACTGTGGTTACATGTGGGTGAGGAAAGGAAAAAATTGTTTGTGCGAAATTACTTTAACACCAATATTTTTTAATTTAATATTTTCTTTCAATTATGTATAAATGGGTATAATAGTAATTTCATTAGTTTTTGGGTTGAGAAACATAGTGTTATTAATATGTAGTGTAAATAATGACACACCCCGACCCGGAATGTTCATCTGAACCCCGAATCAAGCTATGCTGACCGACACCAAGAATGCGATGAAGCCATAAAGTGTAGTGATGTGGAAAATGTGAGTAAATTTAAACCTAAAAGTGCCTAAATGTAAAAGTGCGCTTGTGAGCGAGAATGAACTCATTTCACACGTGATGTCAGAGCATAAGTAAAGTACAGTAAAGGTGAAAGAGGAGTTATACCGTCAGGAGTATTCCCATAACAACGTTTTGCCATAAATCCTCGTCAACACGAAAACTCAGCTACTAAACCTGGAGGGGCAAAAAACAAGGATGAGTGAGCCTAAAGATAAAGTTTTATAAAAACATTTTTGAAAACATTATAACCCCTCGCTGTAAAACAAATATAGTTTCCAAAATATACATACTACGTATAGTATGAAAATACTTACTGTAGCCTGCAATATCTCAAGAATTCAATACGTCACAAAATTCGTAAATAGGCATATAACTTCCAGTAATCACAATATCTCGCAGAAATAAACATATCACATTGAATGCTTATCGACATACGCTAACACAAGAGTTCATGCAGAGCTATTCTGACATGAACATGACTGGGTGTAATAATGATTTATGCTCTAGTACTACAATCACATGAAGACTGGCGCTATGCACATCACATACGAGTCCTAATTGCCTATAGCAATCTAGGACAGGACTGGCACCTACAATAGATCCAAAGTGAGCATATGGTGCGATGTGAACATACATGTGAAAGACTGGCTCTGGCCTGGGCGAGTACTACACCGGTGCAACAACGATGAGCAGATAACGTAAATAAAATCATACAATAGTAAATCAATAATTTACATTGACATAATACTATTCATTTCCGTAATATAAATAACGTATCTTGCAATAATATGCATACCTGTGCATCCCTTGGGATTCATAATAATCTCACAATTTTCATCATTGCAACAATTCTTATAATGTCAATTGAATTATGAAATCACTTAGAAAATGCATTATTAATCTATGTATAGAAACTCAAATAATATATATACTAAATAAAAGAAAAGACCCATTTACAAATACTTGCGAAGTCATAGCCGGTGGAACTAGGAAGGCCAGAGTCTCCAATAGTAATCACACCTAAACATAATATTGAGGTCCATTAGTAAAACTCAACTAAAATGATTAAATTCGGGAAAATGGAGTGCGGATTTGGAACTAAGGCGTCAAAATACGCTAAGAAAGGTCCTCGTTAAATTTTTGTAAAAAGTCAACTAGAAGGTCAACGATTAACTCTAAAAAGTCAACTGAGTTGCAGAGCCGATCAACTACGTTAAAACTTTGAAATTTTACTAAATAGATGTAAAAAAACAGACTCAAAATGTCAAAATTAGCCTACAAGAATTTTCGAAAAATTATGAAAAAATCAACACAAAAAAATATTTCAGAGAATATTACAAGTACTCCTCGACGACCAAACAGTTCCCTTACCTTACCTACACGGAATTATGGACGTCGGAATATGAAGCAAACAGGTACGCCATTATAGCTTAGCTCAATTTTTTAAGATTTGACTTTCAAAACTCGCAACTAAAAGGGCAACTTTATAGATCCTTTTACATCACACAGCTGGCCAGCTGAAGGGTGTTTTTTCAACGTTTCTAGAAGGGGTGGAATTTTCCACGGATTTGGATCATATCCGAATTTAAATAGTAAAAATTTTAGAAATCTTCACATTTTAATCGTTTATCGTATATTGTGCAGTCATAAATTATTTTAAATTTTTATTTAAAAGTAAACATAAATAATATTTAACGAAAACTGATCACATAATATTTAATGAACGATTAATATATAAGGATACTTAAAATTCTCACATAGAGGATCGGAGAGAATCCACCTTATCCATTTTCTACGATTGTCTAAAACAGTGACACCCGAAACTTCTGCAAGTAATGGACCATATTCCCCCTTGTGCAGTGTGAGACAAGGACACGTAGTGGCCCCCCACACTCAATGAAGGACCTTCCAAAATCAATTAAGCAATGGGACCATGCCAATACAATCCTTTTCTCAGGCCTTTGTCTTGCTACGCACTCAACTTATCCACCAACTTGCAACGTCCGTTAATCTCCAACAAAAACTCAATGATATCCACGAGAAAATAATGAAGATATTTTTTGTAATAAGTCAACAATGATCTTGATTTATTTATTCGGTATAAGTGAAAAATATTAGGTTTGAATTTCGTTAATAATGAAATTCATACCAATATATTATGAAAGGTATATTTTGTGGCTTGGCCCAATCGCTCATTATTTTGTGCAAATATGTCACTACGTTAGAAGAATAAAGTGAGACTTGTTGAATAGTACATGAGACATACTATAGTTTATAAAAAAAAATATAATAGGAAACTTCATTCTAATCATTGGCAATGATGACTTTTAGATTAGGCTCCGTGGTGAAAAATTTTGGATTTAAACCTTCATGGTGAAGTTCGGTTAGAATTCAAGTCCAAAATTAACATTAATATCAACTTCCGTTAACATTTCCACCCCCACCCCCGTCTTTTTCCTACTTTGGTTCTGCCTCTCCCCGCCTGCTTCTTTGCATCCCGTCTCTCTCTCATTCCCTCTAGACTTTTGGCCTGGAGCAACCAAATGGATATTTGTCTGCATCCCACCATCCAAATCATAGAGTTACAGTTATTGTTACCCAAAAAAAAAAAAAACAGTTACAGCTATAGTTAGGGAACATGTTAATTAACTAATAATTTTCTGCTCCAAAATAAAAGAAATTAATAGCAAATTTAAATAATTAGTGTGAGAAATAAAGATTTCTGATGGCGTCAAGCCTGCATTGTAGCTATAGTTTTGCCAACTCAAGTCACAAAGTACAGAGCCTCTCTTTCTTCTGGAGCCGACTGAAAATATGGTGCTTACTAGAACACTGTTCACTTTGTTCTCTTCATATATGCCTCAGAAATCCTGTTCCTTTCTCTCATCTCTCTCTTCAGCTTCCCTTCATTGTTTGCTTTTTCAGATAAAACAATCAGACCCCAAACAAAGATAATTCTTTAGCGGATGATGATGAGGTCTGCCTGCTGCTCCTCTTTTCATGTTTCTTGGGTTTTGTTTTGCTTGATTGGTGTGTGATTCTCAACGAATTAGTTTGAACCATCGATTGATTTTGTTGGCTGGTTCAGATTTTATCATTTCTAAAACCAATCAAGAAATGTTAATCCAACAAAAACAGCCAACAAATTAATGATTAATTTACTTAATTGGATTAATAGTTAATTTGTAGGCTAAATTAACTATTTGGAAATGTTAATAGGGTAATCTAGAAAAAAGATGGAGTGGGTTAATGGGAATGTTAATTTTGGGTTTAAATCCTAACGGAACTTAGGGTTTAAATCCGAATGTTTTAACCACGGGGATTATCTTCCGATTACCCTATTACCACGAGGACATTAATCCAATTTAGCCTTTAGACTAAAACCGTGATTAAGATCAAAATCTAATTTTAGTCTCTTGATACATTAATCACCTCATTTATTAATTATATTTTGATGTTTTAATTATTTCTCTTTTTCTTCCTAATTTTAATGTATTAACCATATTTCATTATCATTGTCATTTTCATTTCATTCATCAAAAGATATTGGCTTTTTATATTAGCACCCCACAAAATGTTGAATGCAACCCACATTAAAATTTAATATTAAATGACTTATTTACTCTACTATGCAATGACAATTTTGACCTTATTAGGTTTAAAATAAAAAAATCTAAATACACCCCAAATCACTTTTAACGACATATTTATCTTCTTCAACTATCAAAACCCCTTCGACCCTCCATTATTGAACAAAACTCTAATCAATGAAACTACAAACATGTTGATTGAGAAAAAAAAATTTGATGAATGAAACACGAAATCGATATTTCGGAAGCTTCACATGAGGTAAGACTTCATATTTTTTTTATTGTTTTAGTGATTTTGACGACATCGATAATTATTTAATCTTGCTTTTGTTGCGTTATTCAAGCTTGTATGTTCACATTCATCTTTTAGGGATCACAGAGATTACATGAAGAATTAAACACCTAAAATTACCACCAAATATTAAAAACAGACAACATGAGTTTTAATGGTAGAATTAAAAACAACCAACATATGCTTTAAATCTCAGGCAACATCTTTTGTCAAAGCATCCACAACCCAATATAAAACTAAACAAAAACTTTAATAATACATGAACTATAAGCACAAAATAAATTCCCTGACCAAAAACCACTCAAAAACCAAGCTTGTAGGCATAAACAAAAAATCTTCAATTTTTCTGGGCTAAATTGATAACAAAATCAATTCAACCCTATTTCCACAATTAAAACCATCAAATTTGTACATTGAAAGTCATGATATCAACTGCAGTGCGCAGAGAAAAATGCAACTGCATATAAGTTCTTAAGCACATTGAAAGTCACGATATCAAAACAGTGATGAAACTTCTTCACATGATATCATTTTGAACCATACCAAAGCATATGAATTCTACGTGATTTTTTCAAGAGTAACAACTAGTGCAAGAATCAAGATAGAAAACAACGCTGGAATGATGAATTATGAGAACATAAGGCATGGATTATGATTAAAAGTACCTAAACCCTAATTTCAATCGTTGCTATTGTCTTTCAAATGGATCCTCAATTTCTGAAATAATGAAAAAGAACCGCCAGAAAAAGTGATGAAACAAAAAGTTCAACTGTGTACAGGTATCTAATCCCCAAAACACGCTCTCTTATCTCTCTCCCCAAATTGACCGCTCAATCCCTTTTTCTCCCAGAATTTCTCCCCATTTTTCTCCCTGAAATCCTACACCCACCCACAAACCTCAAACTTGTCCGTGACACCGACATCACCCCTAACCCCAAACACAGAGCCCAAATTGCCCTCCTAATTTTTTTATAATTACCCTTCAACCCAGCCATATATGATGGCAGTGGTGTAAATAAAACAAAATCAAGGGTCAATCATTTAACTGTAGATCCCTCCTCAACTTTAGAATAGGTAAAGTGAACGTTGATAAACTGCAAAGACCAGTATGTATTATATGTTTATGATGACTCATCTCATATCATTGTGTGGTGACATTAAAATAGATACATAGGTGCTTAATAGATCATCACAATTTTCTTGTGGATAGGTCATTGACTTTGTGACACACATCATGGCCAAGGGCTTGTTTAGTGCATGAGAAATGCTAAGGAAATTCTCTTAAAAGTGGAACTTTCCACCACTTTATGTTTTTTGCACAATTCTCGTACCAACATTATAAAACATTGTTTCAAAACAATGACATGGCAGAGAGTCCCATTTTGGTAGAGTCTCCTTAGTATTTCTCTTAGTGCATTATCCATGTCATTGGTTTTATTCATGGAGACACGTGAATGTACAACAATAAATCTTTGAACCCTTAAAATTGAGAAATAATGTTCTTTTAAATGACTCAGTAGTATCTTGCTAGAGCATGTAAAGGTAATTTAAGGAAATAAATTCCAAATTACAATAGTGGAATCATTAGTGATTACTTGGGTAGTTGACATGAAAGAGCCCAAATTAATGTGATCGGGAGCATTGTCTAAGATAAGCATCGTGTTGCATTAGAATTTCAATAAAAATATGTTCTCCCTGATTTCTACATCGACTTACGTTGGAGGTACTGGTTTGTGATGTCGCGCTATGTTCGAGACTTGCATTGCATAAAATAATGATTAATAAAAATATATATTAGTACTTGCACCAAAACATATAATTTAACAACAATTCCACGCTCATGCATAATAAACAGCCAAAATACATGCCATTCAAGTTCAACAACGCAATATTCTTAAATAAAAATCCAAATATCCCGAACATAATGACGATCCAATAAAGATCATTCACAAAGTTACATCATGTTAAAAATCTAATTGCAAAATAAAAAAACTAGACTTCACTTGCCAAGGCCATTATTTTCCTCTTGAAGTTGAAGCAAAATGACCCCGCTTGACACACTCTGATTCAGAATGTCCAATTGGACACTGAATAGAGTTGTGCAGACCGACACTTCAAAGGCAATGAAGCCAAAAAATATATTGATGTGAAAAAATATGAATAAATTAAAACCTAAAAATTACTATAACAAGAGTGTGCATGTGAGTGTCAGAGCATAAGACAAATAGTAGTAAAAGTAAAATAAGCATTATACCATCAAGAGTAACCTCCTACACGTCAACGTTGTCAGAAATCATCGTCGTCACAAGTGCTCTGCCACTAAAATCATGGAGGGGCGAAATACAAAGGTGAGTGAGCTGAAAAAGCAAAGTTTCGCAAAGTCGTTGTTTTCGTTAAAGTTGTAACCCTTCACTATTGTTGGAAATTTTGAGTAGAAATCTTCATTCTACATTGTTCCACATTGGTCACCACCAAAATGTTCTCTCACTTTAGAAGGCTTTCTCCCTAGTATAAAGTGATTGAAGTGTTGGACCTTGGAGAGTAACATTGGGCTTAAACCTTGAGTTTGGGTGTGCTAATTAATATACAATTAA